CTTGAGGCACATGTGTCTTTCAGTCTGATGATGAGTAGGTTTAATCCTTGAACTAGTAGGCATTAAGTAGTTTTTTTTTCAAGCCCTAGTCATTGTGACTTTGATTAAGCCAATTTTGATTAAGTAGAGAGGTTGGAAGCTAGATTGGAGGGGGATAAAGAAAGGGACTGAGGTGAGGACATGAAGTCAGCAAGTAAAAAGCATGCTCCAAAATTCTGGAGACAAAGGAAAGACAGAGATAGGACAGCAGACCATACTGGATAAAGAAATTTTTTGTTTTTTTTTTAAGATGGAGGAGTGAGCCAGAGGAAAGGAAGCAGTTGAAGAAAGGGGAGGGGGGAATCCGAGGGAGCCAAGGATGATAAAGGAAGGGCCAAGGGAATAGGTTAAAGGATTAAAGACAGTTGATGATAACTCAGTCAAATAAGAATAAAGGAAGGTAGAACTGGGGTGAATTGGGTGGAAGATAGATGAAGTTTCAGTTAAAAATCTTGTCAAATATTTTGTTTTTGAAAAGATAACTACAAGGCTGTCAAGAGATTAAATAAATGGTATTATATTATTGTTCAACAGTGCAATTAATCGCAATTAATTTTTTAATCATGCGATTAATCGTGATTAATTTTTTAAATAGTTTTGGATGTTTTCTACATTTTCAAATACATTGATTTCAATTATAACACGGCATACAAAGTGTACAGTGCTCACTTTATATTTATTTTTGATTACAAGCACTGTAAAAAACAAAAGAAACAGTATTTTTCAATTCACCTAAGTACTGTAGTGCAATCTCTTTATCATGAAAGAAACTTACAAATGCAGAATTACGTAAAAAAAAAATGCATTCAAAAATAAAAGAATGTAAAATTTTAGAGTTTGCAGGTCCACTCAGTCCTACTTCTTGTTCAGCCATCGCTCAGACAAACAAGTTTGTTTACATTTGCAGGAGATGCTGCTGCCCACTTCTTGTTTATAACGTCACCTGAAAGTGAGAATAGGTGTTCGCATGGCACGGTTGTAGCTGGCATCGCAAGATATTTACGTGCCAGATGCACTAAAGAGTTATATGTCCCTTCATGCTTAAACCACCATTCCAGGGGACATATGTCCATGCTGATGACAGGTTCTGCTCCTTAACAATCCAAAGCCATGGAAACTGACATGTTTATTTTCATCATCTGAGCCAGACGCCACCAGCAAAAGGTTGATTTTCCTTTTTGGTGGTTCAAGTTCTGTAGTTTCCGCATTGGAGTGTTGCTCTTTTACGATTTCTGAAAGCATGCTCCACACCTCGTCCCTCTCAGATTTTGGAAGGCACTTCAGATTCTTAAACCTTGGGTCGAATGCTGTAGCTATCCACAGAAATCTCACATTGGTATCTTCTTTGCGTTTTGTCAAATCTGCAGTGAAAGTGTTCTTAAAATGAACAATATGTACTGGGTCATCATCCAAGACGACTATAACATGAAATATATGGTGGAATGCGGGTAAAAGAGAGCAGGAGACATACAATTCTCCCCAAGGAGTTCAGTCACAAATTTAAGTAACTCATTTTTTTAACAAGCATCAGCAGCATGGAAACATGTCCTCTGGAATGGTGGCCAAAGCATAAAGGGGCATACGAATGTTTAGCATATCTGGGACATAAATGCCGGCTACAAAAGTGCCATGCAAATGCATTGTCTCACTTTCAGGTGACATTGTAAATAAGAAGAGGGCAGCATTATCTCCTGTAAATGTAAACAAACTTGTTTGCCTTAGCGATTGGCTGAACAAAAAGTAGGACTGAGTGGACTTGTAGGCTCTGACGTTTTACATTGTTTTGTTTTTGAGTTTTGCAGTTATATAACAAAAAACAATAATCTACATTTGTAAATTGCACTTTTACAATAAAGAGATTGCACTACAGTACTTATATGAGGTGAACTGAAAAATACTATTTTGTTTATCATTTTTACAGTGCTAATATGTATAATCAAAAATAATATACACTTTGATTTCAGTTACAACACAGAATACAATATATGTGTAAATGTAGAAAAACCTTCAAAATATTTAATAAATTTCAATTGGTATTCTATTGTTCAACAGTGCAATTAAAACAGCGAGTAATCACGATTAATTTTTTTGAGTTAATCATGTGAGTTAACTGCGATTAATCAACAGCCCTAACAACTACGACCTAGGCTGAGAAAAACGCAAAGGAAGAGGAAGCTGGGAGGGAACTGAAGATAAAGACTTGGGTTCACATTCTCATTGGCAATGAAACATATCAAATAGTTTAAAATTGCATGCTGGGGGTGGGGGGAAGACAGTGCTTTTGTGCAAAGAAACAATGTCCTTTTTTTGCCCCTCCCCTCACACTAAGCAGCAGCAGATTTAATCCCTGATTCTACGACTGCCACAGGAGACCTCTAGAATTGACAAGTATCTAAGTCACTTTTACTAATGCTCAGTCAAGCTAGGAGCAATAAAGATATGGGAATGACTGACAATAGAGAACCAAATTTAGAAGGTCCCTTCTGTTTTCCAGCAATCAGAGAGGTGAAAAGGGCAGAGAGAGGAAAGTCCTCTGTCAGCAGTTGTTTGTGTAGGTCTCAAATAGCTGCAGGGGAGAGAACTTTAAACAAACAGAAAAATGTGACTGTAAAATCACAAATAGTTGGCAGGGTGACCCAGAGACAGTACGAACAACTACTTTTAACTTGGTTTGGAAATTAACTAGATTTCAACGGACAGTGTCCCTTTTAATCACATAAAAAGAAACCCACTTTTCCATTTCCAGTGTATCAAAGACTGTTGCTGTTCCACCACGCATCAATAATGTTTTCCAAAACTGTTCTGACCAGCCTATATTAGCACTTAAATCATTTTCAATATTGCTTTGGGGAAACGGTTTCAGCCATGGTTCACTGTTTCCTACGATAGGGTTTTTAAAAACTGATGGTTGTAATTTAATAGGAACACATGACTTATATGGATGCCCCTTTTCAAACATATCAGATGTATTATTTAGCATTTAGCAAATAAAACTGCATAAAAGTCCTCACAGTAAAGCTTTATTATTTACTGATTTTAAACAGTATTACTATCATTACTCTTTGGAACTCAGTTTTTCCCCTAACTATTCACTGAATAAGAAGTTTTCTGTAACAAAAGCATTTCTCTGTCAAGCTAAAAATTCCATACATGAGGTCAGTAACCTTAAAGTCTTGACATTCTTGATAACAGAGTTGTTTTCTTAGAGACAGCAGATTTACTATTTTGCTTATAGTTTACACATAAAGACGAACTGAATGTATTTCACAGCAAAAACACTTACGTACATGTTTAAAGTTTAAAATAGTTTCTTTAAAATACTCTTTGTATAAGATGTTTTATATTAATCAAATGTTAGAACATAAGTACACAAGTTCTCTCTTTTTAAGGTCACTTTTCTATGACCAATAGAGTGGTTCCACAGATGCTGTACAAGTTTCACAGATTCTCAGTAGCTTTCCATTGTA